TTTCCCTCTCTCTCTCTCTCTCTCTCTCTCTCTCTTTCCCTCTCTCTCTCTGAAAGCTTGCATTGAGATTTCTCACAATTCATGAACGTTTCGTTAAAAGTTACGGAGTTGCTGTTGCCGTTTGAGACCTCAGCCGTGACTTTTGCTTGGGATTTGCTCATTTTCTGCCTCCAAACAGGACAGTTCTCCAGCAGGTACTCTCGGATGGTCGAAAAGGAGCCTCTTTAAGTTATGATTCTTGGACATAGCCGAACTTTATGCAACAGTCTTGAGTGCCAAACATTTCTCCTTCATCAGTTGTGTATTTATTATCCTCACAAGAATTAATATGTTCAGGACAATTTTTTTTCTAACTTTCCTGCTGTTCAGCCAATGCAGATAGTAATGGTTTTATGTTCTTAGGTTTGGACATCTGGTCAACATTTATTTTATTTTATTTTATTTTGTTTTATTTTATTTTTTAATTTAGCAAACTTTTTTTTCTTGGATTCTCCCCAAAAACAGGGACAAATATTGGAAGTTTTCCAAACATATAAATGGCCTATTCTAGCACTTACAATTATAATGTAAATTTCCCTAACCCTAACAATTTCATCAATTTATTTAAGTTAAATAAAATTGTTTTTATTATTATTATTATTATTATTATTATTATTATTAGTTAGCTCTAAGTGACATTACTGTTGTTGCTTCAGTTGCTATTACAGTGGAGAAAAATTGCAGATTTTTTTTGTAACATAATTTGCAATTTCAACGTCACCACCCCCCCCGAATCACCTTTTGTGTGCAAACTTCTAAAAACTTAGCACATGTAACCAAAAGTATCTGCTTGGCCAAAAGCTGTACAGAGGTGAATAACAACATGTGTTACTTTGTCATTTGAGTTCTAGTCATGAACACATCTGTAATGCAGTGCTCATCTCACGGTACATTCTTACAAACGAGTGCACGTCTGACCTCTTAATACAGTAAACATACTCAAATATTTTAATAAAAGTAAACATTATGTGTATTGCTTTATCTTTACAATTTTTTTGCTGTTGAGATGCAGTACAAGGAAATACTATATTACTATACTGACAAATATATCTTTTAGATACAGTAGAGCCATGTATTTTGAAGTATCTGCTACAGCAACGTGCTGATTTGCTGCTAGACTAAGCACTGAGGCAACACAAGAGGGTCTTGGCAGCTACGTAACTACAGTCTCTAGTRGTTAGTTGACAGTAGGCCGACAAAGTATCACAACGACCCAGTATCAAACTCTCTCAGCTCACAGTCCCTCCAACTCTGCTGCAGGAATGCTAAAACTGTACAGATTTTATTATGTGGACTAAATAAACGTTTCTGTTAATATTGTGTTAATCAAGTTGTAAAGTCTTTTGTACAAAGGAATTTCATGACCGTTTTTAAGACTTTTATTAATTTTACTCACTGGAGAAAACTTTGTTTTTTTTTTTTTTTTTTGTTGGTTTTGCTGGATTATTTTAACCACTGTGTTTTTGAAGCCGTGTAAATGATAGGGAAGATGCCAGTTATTTAATAGTGCTCTTTTATCTTATGAAATACTGGTCACATATAGCTGTTGTAAAGTTAACAGAAAGAGGTATTTATGATTTTTTTTTCTCCCCAGTTTTTGTTTGGCTGTCACTTGATGTGTAAATATGAAAAGACTGTATATGTATTTCCCTGGCAGTACTAACAAGCTGTGTTGTGTGATATAGTGAAATATCCCTTTGCTATCTTTTAATATAAAATTGCATTTGCATTTCAATGAAACCCTTGAGTCACTCATCTTTGTACTTTTGTTCTTATGAAGGTATTCTACTGTAATTACAAGTACGCATTTAACGAATAGTGTAAGATGATGCAACCGTATCAAAGACAGAAAGCCATCTCAAATATTTGAATCAGGAAAATATTTTATTCTTACTCAAAGTTCATAAAATGGATGTTTTATTTAGTTTAAAATGCATTATTTTGAGAGGGTTTTATTCTGGAACACTTTTTTACATCATTTGTGTGGTAGATTAAAATAAAGGACATTAGGTCTCTGTTCTCTACATAATGTTGAAATCAAGGGAGTGCATACACTTTATACCAGTTTCACAGATTAGAATGAAAACGACGTAAAAGTGATGGGTTTTTTTTAAAAGAAAGAACTCTTTCCAACCAATTAACATTTATTTCAACCTATTTTCTATTGAACGAGCGTGTTCACGTGATGCAACATGCATTTTATCATTGGCTGTGTAGGGTGATGGACTGTTTGTTTGTCCAATCAACGCTTACGCCTTTAAGCGTTTGAGCCAATCAGTGGAAAGCGTTTGTTTTAAGTGGGAAGGACGGAAGTTTTGTTCTGTTCGATCATGTGAAGTTAGCTGAAACGAAGGTATTTGCTAGTTAAACTGCTAGCGTACTCTACTTTAAATGTTTGTCAGGATCAGGAATTGTATGAGTGTTGCTTTAAACTGAATGAGAAGTAATATTTGTTAACCAATGAAAACGCGTCRTGATGTCCGAGTAGCTACGTCGCCAGTAGCTAACTCGGCTAGCGTTATCACGTTGTTTTTATACGATGCTGAAACAAATGTGTATTTGGCTCTTAAATGTATCCCATAACCGTGGGATTGAGGAAAAGTCGCAAGTAGTGTTACGGTGGGCCTTTCTGGATGGACGGACAACGAMATTTGACGGTTTGAAATGCGGCCACGAGGTAATTCAACCTGTRTGTTGTAGCTAAACCTAAATCTGCWRCACGTGTTCAATGAAAGGGACGGTCGGGATGAGTGATGAGTTGCACATCAACTGGGGTGACTTCTGCAGTGGCATTAGMACTTCAGGCTGAATCGTGACGAGACAAATATTGTGCACAGGGTCCATCTGACTCACTCCCCCAATAACACATTTTTTATGAGTTTGTAACTTACGTTGGGTTTACAGACTAAAGCAGTCATTTTATGGACTCAGTCCTTTTTTAAAAAAAATACAGCTAGAGTATAATTCTTAAGTGTGACAATTTTGTGGCTTTATTATTTTTAATATTCTTTGAAGTTAAGATTAATATTTGTTAAATTGCAAATGTAGTGTGTTTCAGTGGCTGCTTCCTTGTTTTTTTGTTTTAGGAAGAGTTTGAGCTCACATGCAAAAAAAAAAAAAAAAAACAACAGGCTTTGAACTAACTTTACAGTTTTGACATTTTACAGGAGGGTTAATTTGTTAATTTAAGAGATTTTGTGCAGGACTGGATAATGTGAAATATTGAATTATTGCATTTAGAAATATATATTTATCTTCCAATTGTTGCTTTGAATTGGCATATTTCTTTTTCATAGTGTGCACTTTTTTTCTGTATGACTGCCTTTTGGAGATATTTTTTTTTTAAATTGTGCTTTCTTTCTTTGTTCTGAAACCCCCTGGACTGCATCATCCTGATGATGGGCCAGCATCTGGAAGTGGATGGATCTAAACCTGCAGAGCTTCAAAAGCAAAGGCTGTCTTGATCTAAAATTTCTTTATTTCATAAGGTGTGTGTGAAAGTTTCATTTTGCTTTTTTTAAGCTGCAGTGTCTAACATCCTTGTGCAGCCCAGATGCCACTTTATTTAAGGTGGWATGCCACAGGGCTGAAGGTTTTTGAACAGCATTCATGAAGACATCTCCTGAGTGTCTCCAGAGCGTCTTGCAGTGTTTTACAACATTCTCAGTTTTCCTTGTGTAAGCTGCAGAGACATGCAACCCTGGCCCTTTGAGTTTTGTGCAACAATGTTTTCTCTCTAAATGGACACAGGAGACAGAGTGGGTGGCTCCAACCCAGGGCTGGGTGATATGACTGGAGAAATGTATCACAATGTAAATTTCACATCAGTCAACCTCAATAACTGATTAGTTTTTTTGTTTTGTTTTATTTAACCTATTTGAAACAATGACCAGGAGAAAAAGACTTAATACTGCCAAACTGGTGTTGTGACCTTTTCTTCTTTTGTCCACAATTTCCTCTCAAGCCATTGCATCATTTTCTCCTTTCACTCCATCATGYTTGTTTTTATTTTYAAGCAGTTATGAGGCACAGTGGTGAAACATGAAACGGTTACTGTACATGTTACTCTGCAGGTTGTTGCTAGTTTATCAGAGTGAGTCGGTCGATGCCACCAACCTTGCTAATAATGGCCCTGTCGCACTATAACGTTAAGTTAGATATTTGATCCGTCTGATAGCATTACAGTATGTACACACCTGAAARAGGCTTCCGTTTGGATGTCTTTAAAATTTTTCATAAGTTGCCTAAAACAAAGTGTGACAGGACCTTCTGCCAAGACTGATTCAACAAATAACAAAGTAAGTTCCTGATAAGTTAGACTTTTCTGTACAAAATGTTGCCTTTCAGCTAGAAGCCAGTGGATGTTGTGTTGTTGTAATTTAAAGATCTGATAGATTTGGTCCAAGTGAAATGTGGTGACAGTGATGAGTTGCACTATTGTCAGGCTGCTGTTTGCAGTGGCACAGCAGACTTGTCCTGACACAATGTGATGACACCTGTTGTGCACAGGGGCCATCTGAGTCACCTCAAGACAGAAAATGAAAGGGTGACCACAGTAAAGTTATGGTGTCATTAATCATTGCCTTATGTTTCTTTTTCTTCTTTCTGTTCCCAGGCTGCAGAGTGGAGGACAGCGKCAGGAGGTTTGGAGGCCAAAATGTATCCTGTCAACCAGTTTTCCTTTTCAGTAGGTTTATGCTGGTACAGCCTTTTTGTTTTAATGATAAATTGAATGCACTTTTTTGTATGTTCTTATATTTAATAATAATAAAGAATGTGATGTAATTTAAAAAAAACCTTTGAATAAGTTGATTTTATATTTACTTTCTTGTCAGAGCTACACTTACAGTGAGTCATTATGAAATGTCACTATCTTGTATTTGTTTTACAGCTTTCCATGTTTTTTGGTTTTTAGGTGGTTTTGCAATTTGTGGTTAAATTATATTCTGAAAGTTWTAGGAAACTTTGCATGGAAAAATAAACATCCAACGCTAATATCTTTTGTCTTGTTTTATTTGTTTACAAATTTTATTTATAATTCAACACTTAAATAAACTAGTTAACCTCATTTTGCAAATGACCCAGTTAAAACTTCGTCAGTGTCCCATTTGAAAGTTGGACTTTGGATTGCAGCTTWCATTTTATTTATTTCATCTAGTGCTGGAAACCCTCTACAGTAAGTTTTCCTGTCAGAGTTCCTCAGTGCTGTTCTTCMTGGCCAACTGTCCTGCTGGTTTTAGCTGTTTCTCTGCTTTTACACACCTGATTCAAATAATTCAATGACCCACTCAGAATGTCAGAGTTTAGCAGAAGCCTGTCTGTCAGGTGTGTTGAAGCAGGGAAATATCCAACACATGCAGGACAGTGAGTCATGAAGACATCTCCTAGAGGGTATTAACATGTATTCAGCAATAAATAATATTTTATTTAATCATCTGTTTTTATAGGTTGACAAAGAATGGATTTTTGCAAATCTTGGTCCTTCACCTGAAGCTTGTTTCTGGTGAAAATCCACTCAAACCAATGAAAAGATYAGTTGTGAAATTCTGTTCCTTCCCACCTGCTACTCTGCTTCTGACCACCAGGGGGCAGCTGAGTATCAGTGTTTCCACCTCTGCTCTGCAGACTGATGCTGTAAGAATAAATGTACATGTAGGAAAAGGCAAAAACACATTTCTGTATTTTTTTTTATATTTTAATCACAAAATGAGTTTTATCTAAGAATATTAAATTGTGTTTTCTTGTTTAATATTTCTTATAAAAATAGTAATATTATACACTAGCAACTTCCAACACGGTAAAATTAGTCTTTAGGATAATAAGCTGAACATTTTGGAAATYAGCTCATTATAAACTCTTTAAAGCTGGACATCATTAGAAGGAAAAACAGCTGTGTTTTCTAAAAAAAAAAAAAAAAAGCTCCACCCACTCTGGACATCAGTTCTTCTCCCTGCCATCTGGGAAAAGAAGACTAATTAAAACTATAACTAGTGGACTAAAAATGGTTTCTTTCTGCAAGCTGTGAAGTGTGTAACCCCTCCCTCCCTTTTACCAACATCTGAAGGTAAGAAAACCTTAGTGATCATGTACAAAAGGAACCACGCAGCCGTTTAAAACCTCCATATAACAGGAAATTGTTTATATTATATTTTCAATCACAAAAGCTAAAAAAAAAAACTACATTCTTCAAAAAACTGTTCTTCACTTAATGTGTAAAGTTTTTCAGTTCTAGTTGAGGACAAAAAAAATTCTAATAAACTTAAGTTAACTCACACAAGGCAATTGCATTTATAATGGATTTCCTTCCTGAAACAACCACTGAGCCACAGCARCCCATGCGGAGCCGGGGGAGCAGACTGGGCTGTTAAGGGTCTTGTTCAACACCCAGAGTGTGTTCAATGTGTTTGGAGGCAGGAGTGGGTGTTTCACCTTTCCCACCCAAATTGTGATGTAAAGCTCGGGGGGATTCARACCTACAGGATCTTGATCACAGGCTCACATTATCCAGCCTCTATGCCACCGCTCACAATCACCAATCACTTTCTCCCAACGTTTGTTGTCGTCATTTAGCAGGTGATTCTGAGCAGCAGCAGACTGTAAACAAGTGTTGTTACAGACCATGATCCAAACACTAAYCAGGCCCATCACTGCTTAATAGCTTCCAAAATCAGGCGTGTTCTGGGTGGTATGGCCACTCATATTTACCACTTGCCTCAAAATCATTTACTCTGTCTCTTTTCCATCCAGAAGGTTCAGTTGCTCCCAACTTCCTGTTGATTTCAAATTGAAACTGCTCACTTTACTTTCATGGACTGAATTTCTAGGCRCAGCCGAGGTGTTGAGGGGATCCGTTTTGGTGGCCTTAGGATCGCATCTCTGCTTTTTGCGGATGATGTGGTCCTGTTGGCTTCATCGGAAC